ATAAAAATATATTATTTTCCTGATATTAAAAACCTGAAGTCTTTAGCACTGGAAAAGAAAGAAAAGTAGGTGTTGGAGCATTCCCTGCTTCTGGAGAAACAAAATATTGACAGCTTTTTATTTCCTGGGAAAAAAATACAGAGGAGAAAGATGTGCCCATGAGGAAAACAAAATTCCTCACTCTGTAACACAAGCATGGGGGAAGTGAAGAAAAATCAAAGGGCTCCATCCTTTCTTCTTCCTGCCTTCATTCTTCCTTCTTGTCTTCCTAATAAAAACAATTAATTCAGCTGGAAATAACAATGACCCTCCCTCTTATTCCATGGACAGATTTCTGCACTTTCAGTGTTTATTACCTGCCACAAGGGCAAATCCAGACATAAAACCAAAGTAGCCTAAAGAGTTTTTATTTCATTATATGACATGACCTTGAATTACTTTATTCAACAATATTTCTTCACTGTTTCCAGCATTTCAGCTCTTAAATTATAGAAATAAATGGCAAATATTAAGTTTTCCCTATGGGGACCTCATGTGTCAACAGCAGAATCAGAAGAATTAAAGTAACAGCACAGATCTCCACAATCTTAAGCTAATTAATTTATTAATTACTATGCAGAGCATAATCAATGCACAGCCCAGTGCTGGAGAGACTGGACATGAAACTGTTTCCTCCAAGGGTGAATCTCCTGTCCTGGTCACTGCTGCTCATCTCTGCTCTGGATTCTGGTGGTGTGGAGCATTCCCAAAACATCTCCTCTGGAAGAACTTGGATTCCTCATGGCAGCAGCCAAGCTCAGGCTTGCAGGGAGGTGACATCAAATCTGTCCCTGGCCCCTGCTCTGCTCCTCTCCCTGGAGATTGTTCTTAGGAAGCTCCTCCTGGGTCACAATTTCCCCTCAATAGCAGATCACAGAATTGGGGAATTGTTGAGGTTGGAAAAGAACCACCATTGGCCCATGTCCCCAAATGCCACATCCACGGGGTTTTAAATCCCTCCAGGGATGGGGACTCCACCACCACTGCCCTTCCCACGAGGAAATTCTCCCCAATATCCAACCTGAGCCTCCCCTGGTGCAACTTGGGGCCATTTCCTCCTCCTCCTCCTGTCCCTGTTCCCAGATCCCAAATCCCCCAGGCTGTCCCCTCCTGTCAGGGAATTGTGCAGAGCCACAAGGTCCCCCCCCTGAACCTTTTTCTTGTTTTACATTAAACAAAAACCACCCACAAATGGCTGCACGTGCACTCAAGTGCCCCATAAAAGTGAATATTGCTGTCAGTAATTCAGCCTGTGATAAAACAGCTCCATTTCAGGCAAATGTACAAACTCAATCTATAAAACAGGCACATAAAGAAATGGAAAATGACTAAAATGCATTCCAGCTCAAACAGGCATTTTATCTGTTCCAGACACTCCCAAATTCTCCAAAGCTTCACAATTCAAAGGATGTTGGAAATGGGCTCTTTTAGACACCCTGTAATGTGCAATTATAGGACAGCAAACCTGATCCTACTGCCTGTTATCCTGGAATTATCAAGATGCTGGAGGAACAACTGATATTTGTGTGCTTGTTCTGGCTGGATACAGAATCAGAAAGAAAAAAAAGAAAAAAAAAAAAAGCTGTCACTTAAAAAAAAAAATTTAACTTCATACAAATGTAAGCTGTCACAAAGTACCTCTGCATTGTGTTTATCCGACTGGGAAAAGCTGCCAGTCTTTTATTAACAATCCTTGCCTGCATTACTCAGTCACTGCACATTAGAACCAGCAGCTGGAGAGTTTTGAGTGATAATGAAACCTGTAACAAGCCATCCTCAGCCTTCTTTTCCAAACAATGAGGGAATTAAAATTTCAATTTAAATGCAGAGGTTTGAAACACGCTTCAGTGGCAAAATTACTTCAATTAATGTGAGTGGAATACAAAGAGCAGGCTGCAGGGATGGGATGCAGCAGGCTGGAATGATGCCTTTGGAAGGATTGCATGCAGGCAGCACAGGGCTCTAAAGGTCTCATTCTGACTGTATGGATCACAGGGCTACAGGAACAGCATTAATCAGGGCTGTAATTGCAAGGTGAGGGCTCCAAACTCCTGGTTTTGGGCTTTTTCCTGAGCCATGAGCAGCTGTTTGCCTCGAGGAATGAAAGCAAAGGACAGGCAGATCTATGGACACTGTGCCTCCCTGACACATCAAGCATGATTTTACATAATATTCCTATCATATCAAAGGAATTATCCCACAGCCAGTGAGTGATTACAACACTCACAGAGCTGTGTTAACACAAGATGGCAAAAGCCAATGAGCCTGCAGTGATTTTTGGCCAGGGAAAAGCTCCAAATGCAGGTGAATTACTGTTTCTTTATACAGGCACATTTGTCTTCAAATGAGAACTGCAAGTGTCAACGAGTGGCTGAAATTGAGTGTTCAATTTCCACTTGAGGTTTCTCTGCATTCCTTGATATATATTCAAAAAAGCCCATGAACTAACAGCTGCTTTTTGTATCATTATTATTTGATTTATTAGAAAGCATTTGCTATGCTGAAAACAAAAAAAAAAAAAAAAAAACAAAAAACCAACCAAACAGAGAGCAGCAACAGAAATGCTGCAGAAGTCTATAAATCAGAGAGATCTAATGCTGTCTCTCTCTCTCATAGCCACAGGCAACTTCACCCAACCACACATTTGTATACACATAAGTGTTGATATTTAAAATAAACATACACAAAATATTGCAAACCAGGAAGATATCAAATATACAGGTTGAAAAGTGTTTCTAAAGCATAATGTATGAGAAATCTTAAGCAAGGTAATTTTTCTTCTTACACTTACTAACACAGATTTCAAATAGGAAATAGATTACTTGTCTGGAGTTGTTTGGGTTTTTTTTAATTGAAAAAGGAACCCATGAAAAAAACCCCAAACCAAGCAAACTGGTGAAAAAAGCACCAACATTTCAACTCATACTGATGACAACTGTGAGTATCATGTTTTGGTGCCTACACTGAACACCTAATTTACAATTGAAAACAATTGAAAACATCAGGCAAACACCACACTTGGATTCTCCCATTTCTGGAGATGTCCAAGGCCAGGCTGGATGGGACTTGGAGCACCCTGGGACAGTGGAAGGTGTCCCTGCCCATGGCACTGGATGAGATTTCAGGTCCCTTCCAACTCAAACCATTCCATGACCCTGTGACTGCAGCAGGGCTGGCACAGGAGGAGGAACAGAAAAACAAAAGGAAAATGATTGCAGAGTGAAACCAGACACGAGGATGTGACAGCAACAACAAAAAGCAGGTGGGGTTCCACGGGCCATGGCATGAGAGTGGCATCCAGCTGTGGGAAATGTAGCAGAGGGAACAAGGTAAGTTTTACAAAGTCATATTGAAGGTAAAATAAAATAAAGCAAAAAGGAGGAAATTAAAGTTTAGGGTGACAATTTCCAGCTTTTTCTCCTGTTGGGTAATGACTTATTAAAAAGAAGTGAAGAGGCACAGCTAAGAGAGACAACAATGGACTAAAGTGGAAAAAAAAAAAAAAATCAACAAAATAAGGTAATGAGAAGATGGCCTCAAAGGCAATGTCTGGTAAAAAGGAGCAAGAAATTGAGGCAACACTTCTGCCTCCACTTTTTAATCACAGAGTGGTTCAGGAGGGAAAGGACCCTGGAGAATATTAAATCCATTCTCTGCCCAAGCATGGGCACCTAGAGACATGTCCAGTGTGGAGCTGTTAATTTTCCACAGAGGGAGACTCCAAAATCTCTCTGGTTTGAAGACTTGTTCAAGTGTTCAACCATCCCTACAGTAAAAATGGGCTGGTTTAGGGTCAAATTATTCCTTTTGTTTCAGAGTGTGCCCATTCCTCTCCTCCCATCCCTGGGCACCACTGAGGAGAGTCTGGCTCTGATTTCCATCCACTCTGCCAGGAAACAATAATAACCATCCAAAACATCTCCCTGAGGATTCTCTCAGCCTCTCTCCATGTGTGAGATGCTCCTTAACCATCCCTTAATTCCCCACTGGGCTGGACCCAGTAACTCCATCTGTCTTTACTGGAGAGGCAGAACTGGACTGAGCACTCCACATGTCAGCATTGAGAAGAGAAAAATCACCTCTCTTGTTTTTTATTCCTAGAAAACAGTTCCAGGAAAGGAAGGACTGGAGCCTGGTAAGGAAATGTGCTTGTTAAGTTTAGAAAAAGAAAGAAATATTGTAATTAGAGAAGTCCAGAAACCTTCTAACTGCTGCACAAGACTGGAACTGAAAGGCAAGCTTATAAAAGAGATGGAACTGAAGAGAAAAAACACTTGATGGAAGGGAGAAAAAGAGATTAAACAAGATCTGGAACTAAGCAGAGAAGATCAAGAGCCCCAGGAAAAGAATAAGAGTCACAAAACCAATTAGGTTGGAAAAGATGTCTGAGATCATCAAGTCCAACCTATGGCAAATCCTCACCACTGAGTGCCACATCCAGGAATTCCTTGGACACCTCCAGGGCTGGGGACTCCAAACCTCCCTGGGCAGCTCATTCCCTAATTCTCTAATCTCATTCCCTGATTCTCTAATCACCTTTTCTGTGACCAAATTCCTCCCAATGCCCAACCTAAACCTAAAGACTTCATCCCTTCATTAAGACAATGAGGCAAACCCATCTAAATTGTGCAAAAATTCTCCCCTCTGAATAATGACCAAAGTTGTGAGTGCACGTTGGGGATGAAAGAGGAGGGACACAGGACAGTTGCTTTTCTAATAAAAACAGCTTTGAAATAATCGATAAGATTTTAAGAAAGACGGTGTCCAGACAGGTGTCTGGAAAATTAATTTTAAAATAAAGCAAAAGAAAGAATGAGGGAAAAGGGGGAGGAGCCACAACCGGGGGGGGAGGAGCCACAACCGGGAAGGGGGAGGAGCCACAACCGGGAGGGGGGGAGGAGCCACAACCGGAAGGGGGAGGAGCCACAACCGGAAGGGGGAGGAGCCACGAGGAGGTGTACCAGCATGTCGGTGGCGTTGAGGTAGCGCTTGCTGGCCATGCACTGCTCCAGTTTCTGAGGGACCTGCTTGATGTTCTCAATCTCATCCAGGAGGTTCAGCACGTGCTTGTGCTCGATGCCCTCGATCCACAGCTTGCGCAGCTCGTCCCGTTTGCAGTGCAGCAGCATCTTGCAGGACAGCAGGTTCTCCTTCACCTGCAGCGGCACAGCAAGGGTTAATGATATCTGTACCTGGCACTGAGAGCAGCCCTTGCCCACGTTTGTTTTATTGGGAAAAATATCACCAAGCTAAAAGCAAATCTGATTTCCTTCACTGCTTTAGCTGAAGGGAACTGCACAGATCATAAAAACTGAACTTGTCTCATGGTGAAATATTCTTCAATCCAAGTTTGATACCACTGGTGAAAACTTAACTGAATACCACAATGCAATTAAACACCAGATCCTGTTAACCACAACCAAGGCCATTTCCTAAAAACCAATTCAGTATTCTGGCAAGCAGCAAGAATCCAATTTTCTGTGGAAGAAATAAGCCACCACTAATTTTCCTGCTGCAAACATTTTTCATCTTAAAAAAACCTTTATTAAACTATATCAAACCTTTTGGCACATCTCCTCCTTTCCTCAAGTTTGGTATCTTTCCTTGAAATAAGACCAGCTAAGAGTAAACCCATTTTCCCAATAACTTGAGCAATACCAATTTTTTTTTGGAAGAGAAGGTTTAATCAGAACATTTATGAGTTCAAATCAGCATTTTTATTATTTCATCAAGCTATTACAAACCCTTTAGTGCTGCCATTCAGTTTGGTTCTGAGCCTCATGCCATCTTCCAAGTGGCAAAATCTCTAATTTTTCTCTATTCAGGCAACACCAATAGTTTTCCTTCTCCATTCTCTCAACTCCCTGCTTTCAGATTCTCCCTGGTAAGGTCAGTGTAACCTAGCTCTTCCTGCATAATGCAAATCAACAATCCATACTAAAATGTGGAAGTAATTAGCAGCACAGCTTCACACATTGCCTTCACACCACTCTTGTTTTGTGATAAGTTATGAATACTTGGGGCCCAACCTTATCTCAAGCTGAACTCTCACTGAATTACACATGAAGAGAGACACTCAGAAGGAGCCCTTCAATTTATTTTTAAAATAATGAACCTTTCAAGCACTCCACAAATCCCACTTCAGCTGCACTTTCTCCTGCCTGGTTCACCTGAAGGCAGTTTAAAAAAAAAATATATATGTGAAAAATACATCAATGGACCAAAACTGGACACTGGTAAATAACAACAGCTCCATAAAGCAGCCTCTGTCCAGAGGCAGGAGAGGGTGAGATTTCAATAGTGCACTCCAAAATGTCCTCCTGAAGAGGAGCATGGAAAAATCCTCAGCCAACAACAAAAAAACCCCCCACATCTAAGAGTGTCCTAAAAAGCAGAAACAAACTAAAACACACACTGAGATAATTTCCCATCTAATCCCTGTTCAATACATTAATTGGAAATGTTTCACTGACCTGGCACAGCTTCATCAGTGGACTGCAACTACAGAGAGCAAAACTAGGTCAGCAAAACAATCATGGGGCCAGAAGGAATCTCACCAGACATTCCTGCTCCTGTCCTTGCAAGAAAGATTATCAACTCCATCCACATCTGGGAACAGGGCAAGGAATGAACAGCAAATCTTTTTAAAAAAATCCCCCCTTGGGAGCCCAAATTGGCTCTGTTTTGTAATTGAGTCTTGCAGAGGCAACACCTCTGTAGTTAAACACAAAACTAAACCTTTCCCACCAGGAATTCCCACAAGAATTGACTACAAAAGGCAGATCCACAGAAGGATCTGGAATATCTGTCACTTGTACAATTGCCACCTTACACAGAGGGGAACACCAAGAGCAAGCCTGGGAGTGTAACACAGATTGATGACAAACCAGATCTGGGGCCTCCTGTGAGATTAGGTCAAAAACCACTTCAATACATATTGACCAAAACTAATAAAGCAAACTTAAATACCAAAAGGTCCCTCACCCTCAGAGTCATTCTTCTAGGTGGGACCCAAAGGTCACACCACTCTCTGCTTGTGTTGACCTCTGCAAAGCTTTGCACACTGTGTGAAACCAGGCCACTGCCTACAGTTGATTTCAAATTTAGTGGAATTGATCTCTGCTTTCACAGTGCTGAGCTTTGTCCATAAATCCTGGAATGAACCCTTACCCTTGGAAAGCAGCAGAATGCTCTCATTTTCTTTGAAAATGTTAAATGAATTTTCAAAGCCAAAAGGGTCAGTATTTAACCCCACAAGGGGAAAAATCTGCTGCTCCTAAAGCACTGCTGGGAAAAGTTTTAAGCTGAGACTTCCACAGAGCCAGGGAAAAAAAAATAAAGTAAGAAAAATGTGGTGCCTGGTTTGCAAAGTTTAGGTACAGCAAACTGCACAGGAAATGCAAGATAGGAGCCCAAAGAACTGATCTGCTGCTGCAGGGACAGAGCAGCTCAAACAAGTCCCCAGGCACGAGTGCCAGAGTTATTTACTGGCACCAAACCCAAGTGTGAGCACTCAAAATGCAGAAAGATTCAGGGGCACAGAGTTCACGGGCATTCACACAACACAGCTGAGCTTGGAAATCGTATCAAAATTCATATTCTGTGAGCAAAAAGCAAGCTGGTGAATCACTCAGACTATTCAGGAGGTGGCTGGAGGCCAAGATAGCAAAACATGAAAAGATGAGATGGAACGGTGTGAGCTCAGCAGCCCTGGAGACTTCAAAAACCTGAGAGCAACATGCCCAGACAATAAATGAACAGGGGCACTGCAAAGCTTTGTGCTTCACATCCACCTTGCAGTTTGACTTTAACAACTTCTGTTCTCAGTGAGATCCTCCAGAAAATGTTGCCAGTGAGAAACACCTTGGGACAACAGCAGGGATGGATGGTCCTGTAGTGGCACAGAGTCCCTGGCACTCAGGCCTAGCCCAGAGTTACAATCATGCCAAGATGTGGGGTTGAAGGAAACTTAAAAATCATCTTCTTCCAGCCCCTGCCATGGCAGGGGCACTTCCCACTGTCCCAGGGTGCTCCAAACCCCAATGTCCAACCTGGCCTTGGACATTCCAGGGATTCAGGGGCAGCCACAGCTGCTCTGGCAATTCCAGCCCAGCCAGCAATTCCTAATTCCCAAGATCCCATCCATCCCTGCCCTCTGGCAGTGGAAGCCATTCCCTGTGTCCTGTCCCTCTGTCCCTTGTCCCCAGTCCCTCTCCAGCTCTCCTGGAGCCTCTTTAGGCCCTGCAAGGGGATGTGAGCTCTCCCTGGAATTTTCTCCTCTCCAGGTGAGCACCCCCAGCTCTCCCAGCCTGGATCTCTGGGAACTGAGGGGCTCCAGCCCTGGAGCAGCTCCATGGATTCCTCTGGACCTGTTCCAACAGGGTTGGACACAGTAGTCCAAGTGGGAATTTAGCAGGAATTTAGGGGTAACAGCACCTTCTCAACTCAATTTTCATTCCATTCAGAATGATGATGAGAAGCTGGAAAAACAGAGAGAGAAACAAAAGCTTAAAATGGGAGCTTGGAGCTTCCATCACTGGTGGTTACTGGTAACAAAACCACCAATAAAACAACAGCAGCCAGGCAAAAAGGAGATTTGCAGCTGGATCACAGCCTGTGGAGCTGACAGGAGCACAGCAACACTCAGGTGTAAGAGCTGAAATGAGGGATGCAGGGCTCCAGGTGGCTCTTTAACATTCTGTTTATTATATCCAAATGATACAGCAATTTGGGGTCATGGGTGACAAAAGCCCAGCCCACAGCCTTTTCAGCAGCATCAGCTGTGGGTTCATCTGAAGCCACTCTGGTTCTGGTTACAATGCATTATATACTTTTCACTACAGAATATCTCAATACATGACAACCAATCAACACCTTTACTATTACCTACAGCCCCTCCTAACTACTAACATTACCATATTCATGTTATTATGTTCCAATCACAAAAGGTCAGTATGTTACAGTTTAAGCTAGAAGTTGTTTTTCAGTTTTCTCGCAGTGAAAACTTTTGAGATCTTTTCTCTTCTTGCAACATTGGCTTTCTTGTTTGCCTGTGAAAATCTTTTTGCTTGACAAAACCATCTTTTGTTTGAGGTGGATTTATCCTTTGCTCTAAGTCATAACAGCCCCTTCCAACTCACATACTAACATACCTTTAGCCTTCTTAGGTATCCAGTAAAATTGGCTCAGCAATTCTTTTTCTCCTATATCAGAACTGGCTATCATTTCTATTTGTCCTAGGTTACAATGCAAAGATGTGCCCAAAGTATTTATTCTATCACCATCCCTTGAAATCAGGTGGGGCAGGGGTCCTAATCTCATGGGAGAGATCCTCTGTTAATGGGTCAGGTGTTAAACAGCTGGGACTTTTTTTTTCTTTGTCTTTTCCACAGCCCATCCTCCCTCCAGGAGATCTCTCCTGTTAATGGGCCATGGAGTCCCAGGGCATGGCTGATAAAATTCCATCATCCCACTGGGTCCCACTAATTAACTGATAAAATTCCATCATCCCATTGGGTCCCACTAATTAACTGATAAAATTCCATCATCCCACTGGGTCCCAGTGCATGACTGATAAAATTCCATCATCGCATTTGGAGATGCCCCACCCAGGGGGAGGAGCCAAGCCTTTCATACCCAGATAAAATCTGAGATTTGGAACACCAAGGCAGCCCTTACCCACTGGTTTCCAGAGGACAAGAGCTACCAGACCTTTCTACAGCATCACTACTACAACAAGACCACTTCATCTGGACTGCTCTCACCACCCTACCTAGCGGGGTGTCAGGTTGCATTCTGACTCTGCCAGTGGTTTTCTTTTGTACTATTGCACGTATTTTAGTTTTTCTCATTTTTCCTATTCAATTATATTTCTGACTTAGACTCTCTCCCTGATTTTGCATTCAAACCAGCACGCTATTCCTTCTTTCTATTATACACACGTGTGAGAGCTTGCTGTGAAGAGTTTCTGTTTCCCAGCAGTGAGGGCTGGCTCTCACCTGTTTGATCTTGTTGCGGGAGTTGGTGATGCGCTCGGTGATGCTCTGGTAGGTGCGGATGGCCGTGGTGAGTTCCGTGTAGTGCTGCACGATCAGCTCGTCCAGCTCGCGGTCGCATTTCTCGTACGCCTCCTCCAGCCTCCCCTTCTCGTTCTCCCTGTCCTCCACGTCATCGCTGGTGGATAAAGTCCTGAAGTGGAAGCAACGTGCTGAAAGTTATTTGGAGTTTATCCTCAGAATGCACAACATGCTGAAAGTTATTTGGAGTTTATGCTCAGAATGAACTGTGAAAAAATAAAACCCGTCAATGTTGATTAATCTGCCAGTTTTCAAACCTTTCAGAACTTTTTTTTTTCCCCCCTCTTCAGGAGAAGTTTTCTATTGGTTATCACGCTGCCAGGCAGTCATTAAGACAGGCACAATGTAACATCTGAAATATTTCTTGATTGATTATTTATGAAGAGCTATAAGGAAAAAAAAAAACCCTAATTTTAGTCTTGGGAATCAGTGCAACTTGTGCAGTGTTGTAGTTCCTGTAACTTACCTGCCAAAGGTAAGGGATTTTACAGGGACCTAAAAATCCATCACAAATCCATCCAGGTCTCCCAACAGTCAGTTCTCAAACACATACCAGTACAACAATAAAGGGCTCCATGACCCTATTTCCTCCCCTCAATTATTTTAACCTCTGACATCCTGTAGTAAGATTATCTTTTATTTTATCAAAATCAATTAAGTTTGAGATGGTAACAAAACTGCTGAAAACTTTGTGAAACTGGGCATAGCTCAAAGCTTCTTGACGTCACTCCCAAATTTCTATTCAAGAATCAATGCAATCTTTTCCTTCTACCTTTGAGAGGATAACAACCCCAAAAAGATCAGCAAGAATCTTTTCCTGATATCCAGCCTCAACCTCCCCTGACACAGCCCCACACAACTCTAAAGTATCTGCACAAAACTGAAATAAGGACCCTCAGGATCTGTCCCTGTCACAGAGAGCAGAGATCACGGCTGCCCCTCCTGGAGAAGCTGCAGCCCCCCATGAGTCTCCCCTCAAAGCAGCTTCTTGCGAAGTATAAAATTCACTGCAGCATTTCAAGTTCCATGCTGCATGGTAGCTACAGAAACAGGAATCCTTTCTCATGTTATCACATTAATATTCTACTCTCAAAACTTTTTAGTTGTGTATTAAATCAGCTTTTCACAAAAAAAAGATTTTTTAAAAATTATATTTCAGCCTAAGGTCTTTAAAAAGGATCTGAAAAGTAAGAACACTAGACAAAGTTGCTCAGGGCCCAGAAAATATAAATTTTAGCAAAAGGCTTCCTGCCCATGGCAGGAGGGTTGAATTAGACCATCTTTGAGTCACTTCCAATCCAAACCATTCCATGACTCTAAAATGAAAATCACGTGCAAGGCTGGCAGAAAGTCATCCTCTGTTAAGAGCTCGTGCAGATAAATCAATTTTCTTTGTGAAGAACTCCTTATTTCTGCTGGAAGAATGTTCTTCAGCATGGCTACGCTGGACACAAGGAATATCCTCCTCAGGAATTGACATTTTGTTTGTGTTTGGAACTGCACAGGATTGCCTGTCCCAGCAGTTAATGAAAACATCCATCCTGTGTGACCTGCAGCACAGACTGCAGGAGAATCTTACATGGAGACAGACAAGGGAGCAGCAGAGAAATTGGCCCAGAGCACAGACTAGGAAAGTTCATCGTTTCAATCAAACAAAATTTAATTTCACAATTCTGGATTTGCCAAAGAATCCATCTGCAGTGCCAGCAGTTGGTTACAAAAGCTGAAGATTTCTCTCCAAAGCTAAGACTACATCGCTCATGTCAGAGGATGCCACGAGGATTCCACTGCTCCAGCAAATTCCCATCCAACTCAGGCTTCCCAGCAAATCCCAGCCATATTTTGGAAGCAGATTTATATTGTGTTGCTCAGTCTTTTTGTCCTTGAATTAGAATTTAGCTTGTCCTGGGTGCAGAATAAACACCTATATTGGGAATATCCTGCTTTTCTTCATTACCTGGTTTAGGAAAATATTGTGGGAACAATGATCACTGAAAATACCACACTCATATTTTGACCAGAAAGCTTGTATTTATTTACAGTCCTTTCATCAGTTCTGGTTCAAAACATCACAGAATTATTAAGGTTGGAAAAGACCTCTAAGATCATGGAGTCCAACCATTAACCCAGCACTGCCAAATAATGTTCCCAGGCACCACATTCTACACCAAAAAGGATAAAAAATTCCACCCAACAACAAATTTTCCCCAACAGGTTTTTTCTTAGCCCTCCACTCACTTGAAATTGCCTTGAAGTTGCCTTAAACACCTGTAGATTATTTTCTTACAGACAGGGTAAGAGTTGAAATCAAAACCCAAGACTCAAAAAAAACCCCAAAAACAACAGAGACTTTTTTTTTTCCCTTTCATTTTACTGAAAAACTCAGTAAGTTTTAGTAATGTAAGGTTTTGGGTTTAGGATCTGCTTATTTCCGGTGATAATGAGCCTGGATTCATCACTTGGAATTTGAAACTTTGTACACCTGAATTTCCCATCTAAGTCTCATGGAACAAGAGCCATTTCTTTTTCTTGCTCTGCACAAAAAAAAAAAAAAAGAAGAGAAAAGCAAGGAATACTTAATATTCTTGAGATTATACATGCTCCTGCTAACACTGCAAAAAAAGTAAGCCAAGGGCATCTCTGCTTATTTTAGTCCTATTAAAATGTGTTGCAAGGAAGAAAAGTCAACACATTGTTTGTCAAATAGAAAGGATCCAAATTGTTTGGGAAAGGAACTTTGCAGGAAGAACTTTGAAGGGGGAATCACAAAACAGGACAGGATTATGAAACAATAATAAATATACATCAGCACTTCAGAACTCCCTGAGAAATATTCCAAACAGAGGACAAACAGAAGGAAATTCAGTTTAGATCCTGAGTAACAGATGATGAACTCAGTGGGGGTTTCCAGGAGGGATTCCTGAGCAGTTCATTTTTTTTTTTTTTTTTTCATTTTGATTTTTTCCAAATGAGAATCCTCCTCCTCTGTAAGATACCTGGAATTCATACTTGGCAGCTGGATGGCTGCAGATGCCTGTCTCATTAGCAAGAGCTCATCAGGATTACAATAATTCCAACTGGCTGTGAGCTTGCTGAGAGACATTTTTATGCTACGGTGAAACAGAAATTCATTGAGCCAAATCTCATTGACTTCTGATTTTCCATAGTTAAAAATGCAGATTTACACAAATGCAAAATGCTTCATTCATTGGAGTTACTCCTAGAGATGGAAGACAGGATAGAGGAGATGATCAGACACAATCCTGAAATGTTTTTATCATGGGATGTACAGCACTTTTCTCAGGAGAAAAGAAATGAACCTTGTTATTTCCCTGAGGTCACTGAATTTACACTGGAATTAGATTAATAAAAAAAGTCCTTTGGGACTATTCATTTTAGTAGAAGTTGATCTGTAGGTCACAAGCATTTTTCATCTCCTATTTCCAGCATCCAACCCAACGAGCAGGGGGAGGAGATGGAAAGACTTTTTCAGGAGTCCTGAAGCCCTGTCATTGTGCAAAGCCTTCAACTGCTTCCTCCAACAGCTCACATCAAAGCCAGGAATACCTCATTGCCAAAGGAAAATACTCAAGAAAAAGTATTCACATTTATATATATTTATATAAAGTTATATATATATATATTTATAGATATAACTGCCAGCTCCACCACTTTTCCACGAGGCTGTACCTCCCTAAAAAACCAAATGAGCTCCAAGAGCCCTCCTGCCTCAGCACCTCAGGTGAAGTGACAAAGTGCCACAACCCAGAAGTTTGAATTTACTCTCATCTGTCCTCTTAAAGCAACTGCACGGACTGTAGCCTTCAAAAGCTAAATGGTAATTCGCTGTTTAGTGAAGAGAAAGGCAAGATTTTTGTTTTAGGTATTTATTATAAATGCTCAACTAAGTACTAAGAAGCAGTTGTTTTTCAACTTGTGGTATTAAAGATTTTTTTTCCCCCCATAGACCTCAGAGTCTCAGAATTTTAATAAAATAATAAAAATAAATGTTTCTCTCAGTAAAAAGCTCAGTTCTGAGAAGACAGGCTGGGAAAGCTGGGGGGGCTCACCTGGAGAAGAGAAAATTCCAGGGAGAGCTTCCAGCACATTCCAGGAGCTGAAAGGGCTCCAGGAGAGCTGGAGAGGGACTGGGGACAAGGGACAGAACACAGGGAATGGCTTCAGATTGGAAAAGGGGAGACTGAGATGGGATTTTGGGAAGGAATTGCTGGCTGGGCTGGAATTGCCAGAGCAGCTGTGGCTGCCCCTGGATCCCTGGAATGTCCAAGGCCAGGCTGGCCAGGGCTTGGAGCAGCCTGGGGCAGTGGAAGGTGTCCCTGCCCATTGAACTGGATGAGTTCTAAGGTCCCTTTCAATCCCAGCTGTTCTGTGACTCTTGAAAGAAGTCACACCGTGTCTCATTTTCATAAGGTATAAAATTGTGGTGTGTATTTACCACAGCAATACAGACAGAGCTTCAAAATTGCCATACATTCTGCAGAGATAAAAGAATTTTTTTCCTCTACAAACCAATGTAATTTATCTGCTCCCAGCAACATCCTCCATTCTCCAACTCTGCAGGAAGTTATTTCACACTACAGACAGTGCTGGATAGCTCTTTGTGATTTGACAAATCAATGCTTTCCATAGATCTGGCCCAGATGTGCATGAGCTCAAGGAACAACCTGCACCCAGTCTCATCTTGTGTATAAAATTACTGCCACGCTGCGATGCATTAATGTGTGGAGGAAAGTTAGAAAAAGGAAACTCTCCAGCATTCAAATAACACAAGAGAACAACAGGCAGATGCTGTAAAAGGACAGAAAATAAGTTATCATTTCTTCACAAGCTAATACACTTCTGTATTATAAACACGATGTTTACTGAGCTAGTCAGCAGCAAAAGAAAACAAACACCATTGTACCACTCCTCATGTGGCACAACTGAGAACTCCAGGAGCACAGCAATGTTACAGAGATCAGCTGCAGAATATGAAACCACTCACCTCCCTCTGTAAAAATGCTATTTCTCAGCCTCAAACCAGGATTTAACATCATGGATCTCACCAGAGAACACACACACACACACGGGTTAATCTTGATTCTGTGCATC